CACACACACACACACACTCTCACACACACACACACACACACACACACAGTCTAATCTCGCTCCTCTCGTCGTCTCATAACAGGAAGTTTGCAATCAGCACGAAGATTCCAGACACAAAGGGGTGCAGGACATGTTCAGTGGGTGAGACGAGCAAATCCTCATCACTTCTACTTTAACCAGACCAGACAAACTGCTTCAGAAAGCCTTGTTTATTAACCTTTCGTTGATCAGAATGATTCACATAAAACACACAATGGTTTTAGTCTGGTCTCCAGAACAGTTAGCATGTTGAGCGTCTCTTTAAACGAATGACTCTTCACTGTTGTGTGTGTGCAGCTCATAACGCTCAGAACGGCTGTGTGTTTCTGTGCTGTGCGCTGGAGTCCAGCGTGGTTCTGCTGCAGTGGTACGAGCCCATGCACAAGTTCATGCTGATCAAGGTGAGCCAACACAGTCGCTTCAAATATCCAGCGCCTCGCTGCTCTTCACCCCTGACCTTTACATCACACACACTCGCCCACCATCCACACACACAAATATCAGCACGTCTCACTTCTGTTATAAATACTTTTCTCACTTCAGTCTCACTCTGCGTGTCGCAACAATGTCTTGTTTTCTGTCGTCTGTGAACGATAAACAACAACAGTGCATTAAAATGTTTGTGTAAAAACACCTTTTGTGACGTACATTACCATTTAATGTTTTTGAAAGAAGTCTCTTCTGTTTATCAAGTATGCATTTATTTGATCAAAAATACAGTAAAAACAGTGAAATATTATTATAATCTAAAACAGCTGTTTTCTGTGTGTACTTAATGAATAAAATCATCACTTTCTTTCACATCTTATCATGTACTCTGTTCTGTCTCACAGCAATTTGACTTCCCTCTGCCGACGCCGCTGCGTGTGTTTGAGATGATGGTGCTTCCGGATCAGGAATATCCTCAGGTTTATATCCGAGTGAGCAAAGGATCCGGGCCATCACAACCGGTTCAGCTGGACTACATCGACCTGAACTCAAACACATCGTGGTTCGCTGATACTGGACTCGGTACGGATCCACACACACACACACACACACACACACACACACACACATACACACACACACACACACACACTCACTCACTCACACTCACTCACACACACACACTCTCACACACACACACACACACACACACTCACTCACTCACACTCACTCACACACACACACTCTCACACACACACACACACACACACACTCACTCACTCACACTCACTCACACACACACACTCTCACACACACACACACACACACACACTCACTCACTCACACTCACTCACACACACACACTCTCACACACACACACACACACACACACTCACTCACACACACTCTCACACTCATGCAGTCCTGCAGTATGTCTCACACATCTCTCTCTCTCTCCGTGTGTGTGTGTGTGTGTGTGTGTGTGTGTTTCTCAGAGAACCGCTGCGCTGACAGAGTTCAGTTGAATCAGCTGGACAGCGACACACTGCTAGTTCTGATTGACAGTGAGTATCATGTGACTGTGTCTGGAATATATACTGTTTGTGTGTGTATAATCTTTCATTCTTGACTCATTATTATATAAAATGTATTTAAAGAAAATTATATATGTATTTTTGTGCTTTTTGTTGCTGACTGAATGCACATATAAACACATTTCACACTTGTTTTCGAAAGTATTGTCTGTGGTAATGAACATGACAGAGTTAATGTAAACAACCCAGAACCTTCCATTAATGGCCACAGAAAGTTTCCTACATAACGTCTGTCAATGGAACGTTCCACACACACACACTCATAGGCACCCTTATAGACAAACACTACAGAAGATGTCATGGCTGTGATGATGATGTTTTTCTGTCGGTCATCAGACTCTGTTCATACGGTCGCTCTGAACGGATCGGCTAAATGTCACAGACACCTGACGGACGTCTCCTTTAAGTTAGACATCGACGCTGTGGGTAAGTGTGTTCATGTGCGTCTCGTGTGTTTTTCACGACCAAGAACTCCATCACAACCCACAAACTCTGTGCTCTCAGTGTATCACGACGAGACGCTGATCGCCGTCTGGAAACACGGCTGGCAGAGGAGAGGTCAGGGGTCATCAGAGATCCTGCAGGAGATCACTGACCACAAGAAGACATTCCGGCTGCTGGGAACCGACAGGTACACACACACACATCACATATAAACACACACACACACACACACACACATCACATATAAACACACACACACACACACACACACA